AAACTCCAGCCAACGTAGTTTTCGGGCGAGAGCTACGTCTTCCATGCGATCTGCAGTATGGATTGAAGCCGGATGAATGTGTGGTTGGCGAGGACTACGTATCGGATCTGCGGAAGAGGATGGACGAGATACATGAGAAAGTTCGTCGCAACATATCTGGAGCAAGTGACAGGATGAAGGAGAGGTACGACGTGAAGGCCGAGAAAGGAGGGTTCACACCTGGTGATCTCGTGTGGCTACATAATCCCCGAAGGCGTCGTGGTTATTCACCTAAACTCCAGAACTCATGGGAAGGACCCTATGAAGTTATTTCCCGTTTAAATGACGTCATCTACAGGATTAAGAAACAACCAAATGGCAAACCAAAAATAGTTCATTTTAACAGGCTTGCACCCTACAAAGGAGATCACGGCCAACAAGTTCGGAACCTCTCAACCGAGCCAAGAGACGTCGTGCCTGAGAGACATGGAAATGAGGGACTGAGGTTGTTATACAAGGACCTCTTCACCTTGCCAGTGGAATATGCCTTGGCACACTGCGTAGCAGAAGACCTGAGAGCGTCGCGAGGTATAGCCACAGTCTTCAGGAAAAAGTTTGGAGGGATCGAAGATCTTGCGCGTCAGAGCCCCGCCATTGGCACAACCCTTCACCTGAAGCGCAATGGACAGCATTTGTTCTACCTCGTTACGAAGGAAACATCTAACAAGAAGCCGTCCTACGAATCTTTGAAGAAAAGCCTGCAAGACCTGCGAGACAAGCTCCTTCGGATTGGAATCAAAAAGCTGGCTATTCCAAGGCTGGGATGTGGTTATGACGGATTGGAATGGAAGATTGTAAGAAATATGGTGCAGGAACTTTTTGAGGACACTGGCATCGACATTGTGGTCTGCGTATACAACCCATGGGGAACCTCCGGTGGACCAGAAGATCGCAAGCTTCAGGGGAAATCTGTTCTGGGACAGAACAGTCTTAAGGAGGGGGTAGTGTTACAAGTCAGGAGCCCCGCACAACAATAGCCAGGCGCCGTCTCAAAAGGGTTGTTTGTTTACACGGGTTTCTCCTAGCGCATCACTGATAGACAATAGACCCATGTCAACGTACTACCTCAATAGGGGCCCTAGAACCTTCTACACTTCTACGGCGTAAACACCTTTGTCTAGGCTACCAGTGGTCTCCAGAATGTTCCACGGCAAACTTATATAAGGGACCGTCTTCCGGCACACGGCAGTTGAGTTGAGTTGAGCCTTCCGAGAATCGTCGCGGCAAGCGCCCGTCGGTGTTAGTGACCAGTGCTAGTGGCAGTGACAGTGTAGTGACGGTGTAGATACAGTGTAGTGACACTAGTGACAGTGTAGTGACAGTGTTGTAACAGAAGTAGTGATAAATCCTGTAGAGGCTAGCTGTAAGTAGAACCGTTGTAAATTAGAATAGGCATTAGCTAGGTTTAGATAGGGTTAGTTAGGTGTTAGGTAATTGTAATATTTGTAAATAGATAATAATTAGTGTAAATAAATAGTTATTATAAAATCGCCAAAATAATGCCGCTTTCTGACACCAATTGTTGCGGGCTTAACAGGTTCTTTACAATAAAACTTGGCGATTTTATAATAACTATTTATTTACACTAATTATTATCTATTTACAAATATTACAATTACCTAACACCTAACTAACCCTATCTAAACCTAGCTAATGCCTATTCTAATTTACAACGGTTCTACTTACAGCTAGCCTCTACAGGATTTATCACTACTTCTGTTACAACACTGTCACTACACTGTCACTAGTGTCACTACACTGTATCTACACCGTCACTACACTGTCACTGCCACTAGCACTGGTCACTAACACCGACGGGCGCTTGCCGCGACGATTCTCGGAAGGCTCAACTCAACTCAACTGCCGTGTGCCGGAAGACGGTCCCTTATATAAGTTTGCCGTGGAACATTCTGGAGACCACTGGTAGCCTAGACAAAGGTGTTTACGCCGTAGAAGTGTAGAAGGTTCTAGGGCCCCTATTGAGGTAGTACGTTGACATGGGTCTATTGTCTATCAGTGATGCGCTAGGAGAAACCCGTGTAAACAAACAACCCTTTTGAGACGGCGCCTGGCTATTGTTGTGCGGGGCTCCTGACTTGTAACAATATGTTTCTGTAAATAAAAATTATCTCCCTTGTTATCCTTATGGAGAAATACGAAACTTTAAAGGGCCCCAAGGCCTCACTCTCTAATTATTTCCTTAAAAAGAAGGTTTCCTGCACATCTTCACGTTACCCTCTTTCCAATGACACCAAAAACATGTCAATCGGTTCAGTAGTTTCGGAGGAGTAATTGTCACAAAAATCGTGCTTGCGTATTAAATAAGTACGAGTAATGTCCAGTGGTCGAAACTCGACCAAAAATATGTAATGTACTCACTTAACTATTTTCACCCCACACTGTAAATAAAACATGTGATTGGAGTTTCCTCCATTTGTTTTGATTTTCTGTTTATATTTCGTTGTTATTTCGTAACCAGCATAGCAACGCATAAGATCCATGTTAATTTTTTAAAACTTTTAAACTTATTTTTTGTGCTTATCTTTGAGCCTATTTAAATTTATAAAGGGATTCTGCACACCTACAGGAAAATAGCTTTCCAACGGTATGCGTAGATTTTCCCTACGATGCACACGAGCTGAGAAAAAAGGTTTTAAAGAAACATGCTTGCCTATTAATATATAGATAGATAGATAGATAGATTACTAACTTGTATTCCATTTAGTTTTTATAACCAATTAATTGGTTTAAAGATTATTCAAACGCCAAAAATATCAAAGAACTGAGTAATATAGGGATGAATGTGTTTTAAAAGCCTTAATGCTTGTTTGAAACTTTAGCATTCCAGTTGTACATCTACATTTTATCATAAACAAAAAGAATTAAATATAGACTGTCAGCCGTGCTTCGATTAGCATAGCTTCTGGCGTCCACCGCTGGGAGCACCGTGTAGTTACGTAGCGGTAGCACGTACGCCGTAACCACATGGTGCTACCAGCGGTGGACGCCAGTACCTATGCTAATCGCAGCATGGCTGCCGGTCTATATTTAATTCTTTTTGTCTATGATTTTATGAACAAGAACCCTGTAGCGCCGATACATGATTTATTTTACTGCGGAAACTTTGAAAATGAAGATACGTTTCCAGTATGGATTTAGATTTCGAAGTGTACTGTAGGCGTATAAAGATCAATGATATTGGTGAATAAATTTACCTTACAATTGTCAGTGTAACCAAGTGATTCTAATACAATCCTTAAAACCTGATGTCTACTGGTTCAATCCTGAGCGATAGCAATCCTTGACCAAGATATCATTTGTCAGTAGGCCATCAGTTAATGGTACTATCTATCTCAACGTTGAAGTTAAGTAATACCAAAACCAGAGTTTGGACAGTTCCCTTTCAAAAATGCATTAGTTTAGTGAGATCTTTAGTTTTATACAATTAAATTGTGCTACGCTAATATTCTTGATATTTCTTATCTTCTTAGAAATTACATTTGGGAACGTTTCGCTTTTGAAACTTCTCTCTGTTAACGCCTATAAAGTTTAATTATCTATGGCGATTCTCATGCTTCCATTCGCGAGCTCTCTCGACGTCCTTGGCCAAAACAAGGCAGTCAAAGCCACAGCACGGGTCATAAACTGTCCAAAGGACAATAAAATACTAATTTACAACTACAAGATGGCAACCAGTCCTTGGGGAATACGAAATAACAGTTTATAACACACAACGCCATCGAGGGAATTGGAGTTTGTTTCATCATCTTGTTAGCTAATTTACTCAACAATTAACTAACTTTATACCATTGGAGAATAAGGGTAGGGTTATAAATAGCGTACATAAACCGTCAGTAATGTTATGCTTGCTTCGCGATGGGGTGGACACAGAAGAGAGCAAAAGCAGGGTTGTAAATCTACTGAAGAACAGTTATAATTCTTACCGATGATTATAAAAACAAAACTAAATTGTAAATTAAATTGGATTCGGCACTTCTCTTTGATTCGGCTGAGTGGAAAATAATAAGTTTATGGAAATGTATACAAAGTAAATGTAATTAGAGAAAATGCAAAGAAAGGTTTTTTTCGGTTTTTTGTGATGGAGACGAATTAGTACTTAGTACTTAAGGGCCCCGCCTTGAAACTGAAATTGGCCCCCGAATCATCACATCGATAATATAGGATCGTCTTTTAAGGAATGTTCAGTTGATGTCACATGCTACACGTATGTCTGTCCTTTGGCCATTCAGATGAGTTTTTGCTCTCTAAATGGGCAATAAATTAGTTATACAAGGACAACGTTCTAACTATGCATTAGCTTTTTGCCCTATTATTTTCATATAGACATGAGTCATGATTATGTCATAATGAACAGTTGCTAGTAATTTTGTCTTATAATCTTAATTCATGTAGTTGAATACGCACACTTGAACTATTGTTATAATTAATACTAAGTCTCTCTTTTGTTTTGAACCTAATAATTTTCTGTTTTGTTCCTAAATCTTCCCCCCAACGGCCTTTATGAAATCACTGTTGTAAAGCCATACACAATACTCTAGTACCAACCGAAAAAACTTTATAAAAGATTCACTAATCGTTATTTTGTTCACATTATCAAGTGACTGCACAAAAATTGCATTAAAACGCAAATAAAGTCACGCTGCAAATCATCTCAACCGGAATCATCAAATGATCAATCCGGGTTACGTTTAACCGGAATCCGGAATCCCAGTGAAGCCAATGCCGATTAGATAACCGATGGCCCCACCAAGTGTTGTGCATTGTTGCTATCAGCTGTTCAGGTCACGTGACCCCTCTGCCACTGCCTGCTATGTTGCTGTCGCCTTTCGCTTTTCCCACCACGGCCATCACGATCAGTCAGTAGTTTCGCGGACGCGGTCGGTTGAGGAGAGAGTGCGTTTGCGTAGTGTTCGCGGTCGCGTTACGCCGGTTCGGTTTCAAAAATATCGAGTTTCGAAGCTCATCGCGGTTTTTCTGTGTGATTTTACACTTAACTTGCGGTCACTGGGATTATAGTGTGAGGTATACATCTAAATGAACCTATTTAACCTGGCTTTATAGCAATAATGATTTTGATGAATTCTTTGTTCTTTTTTAGTTTTATAGGAAAATATTGTAAATCTTTAAACTTAAATGCTCTTTATTTGTATGGATCTATTATCAATATCAATAATTAATGATCAATTATAAATAATTATTTTAGATTGGGACGCCATTATGTGCGTATTTTAAACCAAATATGAGTGAAGGATGCGTGTAGGATGAGTGGTGCGATCTTGTAGTCTTGTAAGTTGTAAGAGTATGTTTTCTGTGGTTGTAAGTGACTAAGGCCGACATGTTCCTTAGACACAGCTGTTAATTAACAGCCAATACAGCCAATGGCAACTAACACAATTTGTAGTGGAATCCGAACCACATTTTTTCCTTGTAATTAACGAATTGGTCTAATTTCCAGGATAGTACTGCGGATAGTCATAGTACCATGTAGTACTCACTAGTGCGGGGCGGGCGTTAATCCACACCAGGGAGCATCGCACCCACAGTGCATGCCTATAAATATCCACAATTATTTGTTAATAGTAATTAAAACATAACAAATAGTTATAGTGATACACATTAAATGCCCTCGATTTAAAATTTCATTTTCTTATTGATTTATTTTTAAGAAAAATATTTCTATTTTACTAACTAATTGGGTGGTAAACATGTAAAATAAAGTGCATTAACTAAACAATAAAGATTATTTATTACAATAAATGCATTCAACAGTATTATCACAAACAATTCAGTATGATATTAGGTAACTTGCTATAATTTTATTGTGAGAGCTCTTGTAAATAAACAAGGTGCTTTGACCAAATCGTGGGAAAGGTTAACTGAAAAAAGACTAAATAGTGTCAGGAACCGTAAGATATATAAAACAAACAAAAAAACTGGTATTGATGATATGGTCGCCATCCTTAGGATTTGAAAATGAAGGGCGAGCGTGTATAAAGAGGTCGTTTCAAATCTGCCAGTTATGAGTCAAGTAGTGAAACTTTTGAGCTAGGTTTACAGGTTTATAGTAAAAAAATTGATAAAAAATCGCCATTGATAATGTGAGCTAGTGTCAAATACCACTTTATTTTGTGTATACTCATATTTGAACTATGTTAAACTTAAATAAAGACCTATTGCGATGTCTATTGCAATTGTGTAATTCCACACGTATACCAACTAGAAGGAATTATTTCATTATACTAATTGAATGATTGACTATGGAATCATTTCCATAATGCTTTGAAGGAGCGTCAAAGATTTTTCCTAAGGGACTTGACACTCTTGCACTGGCGGCGAAGCTAACTATCATAACGATGTTAACTGTGTTATCACTCAAGTTCTAGTTATCTAACAAGAAAGCTAACTAACTAAGCTTCCACTTAAGACTTCTTAATCACTTAGAATTCACTGTAATTTACTGCATTCACCTTAATTTACACGTTAATGTCCCAATTTTGTTTTCTATGTTGAAGAAGTTACAATATCATAAAAAAATGCTTAAATAGGGCTGACAGTTTGTGATTTAAATTAAATGCTTTTAATCACGTCCCTGTCGATTTACAATAGAATAAATATAAATTTCCTTTTTTTCTATTGCAATTATCTATCTTAATGAGTATCAACCCCCTTTTGTGTTAGTTAATAGTAAAAAATGAGCTAACCATTACTGTATGTATATTCTAAAATGTCCTGGAGTCTCTAACCATTAGATATGTTTAGCTAATATTGCTATGTTCCGACCTAGAACTCATAATAATTAGAAGACATGCGGGACATTCATTTGATTTAGACGCTACTGAAAAATAATTGGATACTACAAAGCATCACTTAAAATTAATGTGCGGTGAATACCTTAAAACCTCTGTAATACTAGTTATGTCAGAGCCACAATGTAATATGCCTAACTCTATTTTAACAACTGCTAAGCATTTTCAATTCTAAATCTTAAATGCGTAACTCACTTAGCACTTAATGAATTATTCTAAATATTGCCATAGAAGGGAGAACATGTACAATTATGAGTTTCATCAACATTTAGGTTATCTAGGAAATTAGGTATAAAATATGCTGGCTATACAAATACATCATGAGACTATAGTAATACATATTTAATCTTGTATTAAGAGCATTTTTTTTTGGGGATTACATTCCAACAAATTAACTCTCAGGAAACATTGCTTCATTGAAATAGGCTAAAAGCTAAATCCCTTCCGCACTAAAACCCAACACCCGAAAACTTCCGCTTCGTTCGAGTCCGATAGGGTTATCAGCAGCAACCCACGCTGCAGTAATCAACGTAAAGGTCGTCGGTGAAGGTGTTGTATCAGTGGCAACTTCATTTATCGACAAACTTCACCAACTTCAACCGCAACTTCAGCCTGATGAACTGTGACATTTCGTTCCTATTACCATCCGCACGCGAACTAAGCTCTTCGCAACCATTAGTGGATGTTATTCTGATTTACACAGCTTGTTTTTAGCTGTACGAGACTCTGCTGAGGTACTCGCGACCAGACACCAACTTTTACAAGTTTCGGTTTATTCTGAACTGAACTATCGTGTGCTTTACAAATGGTTACAAATGCGGAGGACTTTTTACGTTTGCGGCGACATTTTGAAAAAGAGTGTGTATTATACCATGTTGTAGGTTACTTGGTAAAATATAGTTCAGTAACAAGAAGATTTTGGGTTTACAACACAATAAAACTATTTTTTTGGCTAACAATGGCTTGTTTGTTTTGCCGAATTGCCGAGGCAATCCTTTCTCTAACGAAATCCAGCCAGTTCAGCAATCTGTATTTGTGCCTTATTAACATAATCGGTTGTTTCCAAAAACCCGCGTGCGCTTAAACTGGCGCTGATGTCATCGAGCTCTTGACCTACTCCGGTTCTGCACAGCTTGTTTAAACACCCGGTTATCCGGACACGGAGTTTTCCGTACTTCGGTTCTGCTTCGACAGTCTTCAACTCAGTTTTTAAAACACCCAGTTATACGGGTACCGTATTATTCGGACACAGTTATTCAAAGTTGGTTATCCAAACGTTCGGATACCCAAATGTCAAGTATGCAAACACATGGTGATCCAAACTATCTGTTATCCACACGTCGAGTATCTAAACACCCTGTTATCCAAATAGGACTCTGAAGAGCCAAAAGTCTTTGATATTTAACAACTTGACGAACGGCGTTGGCTCGTTGGTTTGCCTTGACCCATTCTTAACATTTAGACTACGTTTCTGTCATTATCTGATAGATCTATCGTGACTTTCTAATTATATCTAAATCTGTTTTGACTCACAACAATTTTGAGCATAGTAATTACTTTTCGATTAAAATTAAATACATTTTTGATTAGTTAAGGCCAAAGTGTTAATTTGTAGAAAACTAAATAGGTTTGATATTTTATTCAGTTGGAAGTTGTTTTTGGTCTCTGATCAATCTATGTTTAGACCATTCAAGCTTTTTTAACTTTTATGCACGGATAAATTGTTTAGTTGTTATAATGCGTATAAACGTAACAACCGTAAAAGCTTTAATCAGGCTAATCTGTTTACATCCTACCATACTATTTTTAGTGACGTACTACGGCAACCAAAATTACCTTATTCGGTAAAAAGTGTTGTCATTTATAGTGGTTTATAAGTTGTATGTCACAAAACATGAACAGAAACAAGTTTAGTAGTTTTCACTAAGTACACACATATAAAGCAATTTTGCAAGAGTGTTCTTCCCTAACTTACATTAAAACTTGCAACCCATTGCATATAAAGCCAGGTTATTCCTATTCCACACCTACTATACCTAAAATAAATCTAAAAACCTCATCAATTCCAGGAAGTGAGTGTCAAGTGATGGAAGTAACGTGAAGTGCTACAGACCAATGTGTTAAACAAGATGGAGAATGGTGGCAAGCACCCCGAATCCCCTAGGAGGGGTCTGGGGGGCTCCCCAGGGACTTCAGGAACTCCTGAGTCACCCAGGACCCCCGGAGGAACCCGGCGACTACGGGACTTCTACGAGCAGCTGTGGAGCGGCAGCAAGACCGGGTCTCCGGTGCACGAGACGAAGGCCACTGGTAAAGCCACCGAACCCCTTAGCCACCGCCACTCACCCTAAATATAAACAAATAAATAGCTCTTTCCATTTAGTAGAATAAATCATAAATAAATAATAAACCTTACAGCACACTTAGTTTGACACCTAAATAGTAAAACTTGGTATCGTAGATAACTTGTACGTATTTGTAATTTTGTTAGATCGTATATATTTCCCTTATAGTAATATATTGTTATGTAATTGATGTAAAAAATGTGCATACAGCTTTATTTGTTTTTAGTATTCCCAAATTAAAATATATTTTACGTATATTAGATAACTAAAAAAACGTAGGTAGGTAGTATAATCGTTTTATCGAAGGCGTGGATATACTCTAAAATACTATTTAATTTATTGATTAATTTTGAACGAAATGTTTTCTCAAAATATGTATCCAATGTATGCAATTCTTTGCAACTGTAGAAGGGAAAAGTTAGAAGTGCTATAAAACTAAATACGAAATTAACTTTTTAATACATAGAAACTGAAAACAACAGTTCACGTGACTTGCTCACGTGTTGTTAAGTCGTTGCCAATGCCACCGTGATATTTAGCTCAGTCAGTGTACGTACACTCTACTTACTTCATGTATAACGTCATGCATTTAAATTAGCACAGTAATTCTAGTAACTTGCGCTTACTCAGTCAAGTTTAGGTCGACGAAAATAACTATTCCTCGTAAGCTAAATTTAAATCAAACTATTGTACGGAAAACGAGAAATAATTATAGGAGCAGTTAACAAAAAAGTGGAAGTGGCTTTCGGGGTTTTGGTAAGCTGAAGGTTGTTTCCGGTCCAGCCGTGGATGTGACCGAGATGGAAAAGCGACTGGAAGAAGAGAAAAGGAAGAGGATGACAGAGAGTGCAGACTTGAGAGAGAGGGTGACGCTCAGACACGCCGGGGCTACGCCCAGGAGAGGTACCTATGAGAGGGGACAGAGGGAGATGGGAAGTTTAGGGAGGAAGAGAAGTTAAAGTGTTAGGGAAAGAATGTTTAGAGGAAGGGAGCTGGGAAATAGTAATTAAACCAGGGAATTAGAGACTTCTCAAAATAATAGGATAGGCTACTTAGCGATAGTTGAAGGAACAAGAGGATAGAGAGTGGGTGAATAGATAATAATTGAAAACAAAATTTAGAAACATTGGTATTTAGGGAAGATGCCTAGAGGAAATAAATAGGAATATGTAACTAATATATGTCTTGCAATGGTAGCTCTAGCAATGTTGAAGTAAGCAGACAAATTACGGTAAATAGAGTCTTCTGCCAAGTCTTTAGATATTAAAAATTGTTAGGTTTTGTAATAGTTTGGTTGGACACCGGTTTATTTTTATCCTAGTGTAATAAACCTCGAGATATTTAGGTTCAGTGCAGAGAGTATATATTTTTTCGTGTGCACAATCTGTCATCAAAAATGGGGAAATATATACAAAAAACGTAACTAGGACCAAGAGACGAAAACATATTTTTTGTTAAAACGTCAGTCATTTTGCTAAACTAAATTACATTCATAACATTACACTCCCAAATATTTATTTAAACGTGAATAGGCCTACTCACAAATCAAATTTTTCATATTTAAATACCTACGGTATGTGCCACATTCAGCTGTAGCTGTTAAGACCATATCCTGTACAACAGTGAAAACGCCCTTTTCTTCCGGCTGTTTCGATAATGTGTGATGGAACACCGGCCAAAGCCTGTAGGCTACTATTCAGATTAAACCATGAAAATTCCCGTGTCATTTACTTAACTGCACAAAGTTATACTTTCACCGAATGAAAAGGCGTGGTAACAATTTTACAAGTAACATTTCCGATAATTTTATCAAGCGATCTGAACTTGAAATTGCAGTCTGATTCAAAGTATTTAGCATGAAACAGCTGATCGCAGCTTTCTAGCTTAGAGCCCATAAATTTACCGATCTGCGTTTAAACACTTAACCATAGGTTGGGCCATTTGGCTAAACCTAACCATGGGTTGGTGAAGGTGAAAGTATAATTTGCCCAATCAGTCAATGATTACTCGGTATTGCACGTCAACCTGTTATCATATAACCCACATACATACATTATACAAACAACACCCGTACACATACCACGGTTATCAATGAAATGTGACCTTTAGTAGTTTGTATTCATTGCCTATTTGTTGACGTTGGTGGTGTAAAGTAACAAATACATTTTTGCTACCTAAAATGGCAAGTTAGGTTTTTATGATAAAGTCAAACTTAATTACCTAATATACTCATATGCGACATACTAGTGGAATAAATTTAACAACCTTTTACAAAACCGATTAAACTGGGAAAGACTAAACTTTTCTTTACTTTTGTTTGTAAAATTGTTTTCTAACACACCACTCATATACTTTACATACAAGTTTCACTTATACTCTAAATATTTACATGGTGGTAAATTTAAATAAATGCTAAAAATACATTTATAAGAGTAAATAATATCGAAAAGCGTTTATCGGCCCAAAATTCATATTTACCATCAATTCAAAATTTATCTGTTTGTTTAAAGTAAATGTAAACATTAATATTCAGTTTTAACAAGAAGGATTCCTTATGCAAAAAAGCGTTCAAGTATTAGAAAACCTAATTTAAAATACACAATGAAGAAGATTGCATCCTTCAGCCTTGAAGGATATTTATTGAATTTCAAGACCTAAATGCAAAACTGTGTTTACGTAGCAACGAACGACCTCAATACATACATCAACGTCTTGAAATTACTATTTCCAGACCACTAGCTTGATCATGCTGTGGTCCACTTGCTTATAGATTCCAAGTAACATAACACATGCAAGTGGGGCGTTTAGGCTGAGTAAGGTTCATTAAGTGGTGATTTGGAAAATTGGTTAATTAATAATTTGTATGCAAAGTACAGTCTGTAGACAGTTAACTGGCGTGGATACAGATTTAGACACGAGAATGGATTTGAAGGTCGTTGGTTTACCACAGACATAAAATCATTTACAAAAATAATCTAAATACCGGTACGCGTAATTTTCAGATTCATTCGATACATTTAACACATTTGATATAATTTCGCAAGTCCATTACTCAACTTAAAACACTTAAACGACCAACTAAACATGCGGGAAGGGTACGAATAAAAAAAATAAATTGAACAATAACTATTCGATTTGCAGACTACAAGCTGCTGAAGTGGGTTGTAGATCTGGTGTGATTCCAATGACAAAATATGCGTAGAAAATCAAATAATGGTCTTATTTAAAGTTTATTACTGTACCTATATTGCGAAACGTAATTATTTCAATTTGAAGGTCAAATGTATGGATATTTCGTATCGCTAGTGTTTTAATTTTTACTACGTTACAGGAAGAAAACTCATCCTCTTTTCAAATGACACTGCAAAATTAACTTGGTCAAAACCCATGAATTAACTCGATCAAAAGGACTCTTAAATAATAAAATAATAAATAATAATAAAACCGCAATGTTTGCCACCTTAAATCAGTTACTAATTGTATACCTTCTCGAGTTATGCAATCTTTCATCTGCTCTAACATCCTATCCTACCATGCGGTGGAGACTTTCGTAGACCACAAGCGTTTGCAGTCCATTGTTAACCAATGCCGTAGGTTGTAGGTGTGCTGAAGAGAGGGGGGAGCTTGTACAGCAGACATGGACCGGCATAAAGATCTGCGATTGCCACACCCGGGTTATAAACGTGATAACATCGCGGGAACAAGCGCCCTTGAGTTGGATGACAAAGCATCTAAACCCGTGTCAAAATGTTCTGAGAAAGATTAGGAGGTCAGTTAAAGAATATTGAAAGCGTAAAAGTAATTAAATATTTCATTACGAGCTTAACTTTGCCTGCCGATGCGAATCCGAGGTTGGAAGATGAGCGAGGGTTGAAAATACACTTCCACACAGTGTGATGGATGGTTTTTGACATCCTGCTCCATTATTTTAGCTGAATAACTTACAAAATTACAATTTAGAATATTCCTGTTTACCTAAATAAATTAGCTCCAGCTATTATTTCCATCTTATTTTGCTGTTGTGTACAAACAGTTTTTACCATCATTTAGAAACAACAAGTATTACTTCACCAACTCAATAATAAATCAAATTTCATCATGGTTGTCTGAGTAATGAGTAAGAGTCAATGTTATTGTAGTAAAAAAAATGAAAATGCAACACGATAATAAATACAACATTTTGACAACGATGCAATTGTATTTTCATCAGCCGGAACTATAACCAAATCAGCGGAACAATTTTAATGGCACAAAATTGTACAGTTGATGTTGATGTCCTCGACTCCAGAATTTTTGTTCAGCGGAGTAAAATGACCTCTTTACCCTAGCAACTTATCGGTTGGGAAAAGCTGTTTTCGCTAACGGCATTGCAGTGAAACGAAAATAACATTTTAGTCTTAATAAACAAAGCTAAGTACGAAAATTGTGTCCAGCCAACTTTTCAGCATGGTTTATTTGTTAGAATATTGTTGGGTAAGGAGTTGGGATTTTGATCCATTTAGGGTCTAGGGGGTCTAGGGTCCAGGCTTGTATCTAAACCTTAAATACTTCAACAATGTATTCATGACACATTGCAAGACCTACCCCCTCTCATAGGACCATCCAGTAAACCAAATCTCCCAACAGATGTAAAAGTGTCCCGATGGGGCAGCGGGGCGTCCTCTAGCAGCAGCGCGCACGATTCCTTCGAGGAAGTGGTAGAACACACGGTGGAGGAAGGTGATCTGGCGGAGGTCGACGGAAAACTCACCGGAGGAAAAGTAGTTCAGTTTGAAAGAGTCACGGTTCACAAAACCGTTCGCGAGTTTGTGCCGTCTAAGATCTCAGTGAGTCGAACCCCATCCGAGGAGCAGCTCACTAGAGAAGACTCCGCGTACTTGAGTCAGAAGAGTTTGGGTTCGAGAACATCTTCGGTGACGTCACTTGCCAGTGTCAAGTCGGAGGATTTGCTGGAAGAGCAGCACCAGTGGTACCAGGACTACCAGCACACCATACATCCTGGGGTGGTCAGACGGGAGGTGAGGAGCAGAACACAGTATGACACCCACATCCAGCAGATCAGAGGTAGGCCAGGTGTATTATATAGGTGGAGGTATTACTTATATGTTGTGGTATTGACTGTTTAATGATCGGTGAGAGTTTACAATAGTTCTTGTTATCATATAAACACTATTTGAGTAGCTTTAGGCTTGGGAGCTGTGGGTTGTGCATTTGATTCTTAATCCTCAAGAGTGAACCTTAAACATCAATGGAAATCCATTGTTTCATGTAATATTGAACTTTGCATTATTTGTAACACAGGGTTTCTGTTGGTGGAAGGCTTTTGTTTTACAAACTTTTTAGAACCACGCAAGGTTTAAATCTTAAAACGTCTCCAATTCGTTCTTGGGTCGTGGTTACCATCCGCGAGTCTCTGACAGCTTAAAGTGTCCACCTAACCTCATAGTTCAGATTTTTAAAATCACTATTGAATCACGCTTTCCATACTACTAGTTCTTCCGATATTGTACAAATAATATAGCTGACCTAATAGGGGTTAATATAATAATTTTAAGAAGCATTTTCTATCATGTCATTGCAGTTGCCAAAAGGGCTGAAGCAGAACTAAATGTTTGCCAACCTAAAGGTTAAGCCTATTTTCCCCCTAAAATTAAATACCTTCAGAATTTTCGTAAATAATACTACTCTACAAAAGTTAATAGAGTAGGCTGACATCATGGGCAGGAAGAACAGATATTCCTCTAAAATCATAATGCTATGTTTAATAAAGGATTGTGTTTGGAAACACTTTTACTAGATAGTGTGGTAGTGTTTTACCATACAGTTTCGTAAGGATAGTGCGGAGGTTAAAGTACTCTTTGACATATAAACAACTTTCTCAAAAAATAATCGCGATTTTTCAATAGTATATGCTCAATAGTTGTATAAATACAATAACACGTGATCAGCTAATACACGACATTCGCATATTTGACTCCGTGTTCCACTAAAGCTAGTTTAGGCGGACATGTCATATGACAAGATGACATTCGCGAAGACCTCTGACAATATTACGTTTAACCTTCGCATGCCGCGTAGTTAATGTTAACGCTGAGGTTGCATCACGCGCTCAAACTGTGTTAGGCTAGGGCCACACTTGGCGACTTTGTCGCGGCGACTTTTTTTCGCGCGACTTTGACGCGACGACAAAGTCGCTGGGGGTGGCCACAATAGGCGACAATTTCAACCTTTCAGTTTACTTTTTACCATACCAGTAAATATAGAGTTTCGAGATAATATATTGTACTTTTAAAATCGTGTCATTGATTATGGAAATAAATAAGGATCTATGACTGTTTATGTATGTTTTTGGATGATCTTAGAATACATTGATGGTTTTTACTGTTATTTGCAGTATCATACAATTCAAGTGGATCTTACAAATTAAATCATATAGTTAAAGTATTTTCGTACGTGCACCGGCGCCTCTTTATATTTCGTACTAGGTCACGTAATAGTCTCTAATCATTTACCAGCAACAAAGGAATACAATTTTTACTAAATTAAAGTGTTAAATTATGTTTTTAAAAACAATGTGGATGTCTAAATCGTCAGATCACTGTTTAATGTTTGATGTTGCTATCTCTTGTATATCTAAATACCCCAACCGCAAAAAACCTGCAGACTAAGTGAATTTACATTTGTTTGGCTAGATTTCCACTAAAATATTCACTTAAACTTGTCGGATTTATTTTCAATTTATATAAGATGAATTTAAATTAATGCTTAGGTTTGTTGATACAGATAAGGTAACCTAATGAGGTGTGCTTGTTAATTAAAATTTTGATAGCTTAGTACAAAATTAACAATATTGCAAAATGTTATTAAAATATATCTATAAACAAGCAAACTACAACAGTTTATTCTCCATAAAAACGGGCATTATAAATGTAGGCTACAATTGTTTAAATTATCTCCGTAAACGCTAGGCTTTCAACACCGCTTAAAATGTACAAAAGTATAAAATTTTTTAGCTAACAAAACAGTTTGGAATGGAATTGTGAAATTTATGTTTTAGGGTCAAAAATGAGAAAGAACTAATGCTATACCCTATTAAAGCCCTTTAAAACCTTATTCTCATAGTCTGATCATTCTAATTTGCGAGCCCGTTTGAATTAACGTTGGTTTAAACATTTGTACCAAATACCATTAAAATCTCATCAATTTTGTTTAAGTTGTCGCCCTAATAAGCACATAGACCTAAATAAACATAAAATATATACACTGCATACGTATATAGATGCATATGTATTTATATATATGAATTTGAACGGAGGGCGTTTTTGCCTCTGAGGACCTCAAAACGAAAATTAAGTCGGTCCTGGGCTTAGGTTCTACCATGCAACCGTAATAATTTATTCTCTATATGGAAAATTCGCTAAAAGGATGAGAAACCACAGGTATGGAGCGAATTACCTTTAAAATCATTGTTTATGGATGGCGTTCTTGATATTATAGCTTTTTTGTAGTATTTTTTTATGTGCATAGCTGTGGCAAGCTAATGGCATTGAAGACGACGCACGACATTTGAAAAATACACGAGGTTTTGGTTTCCTGCTATACCAGACGAGTTAAATCTCATATATGCTACATGACACATGTAAACATGCCGACAATTATTATGTCGATGAAAATATTTGTATTTTAAAAGCATATTTTCCATGCCAGTCCAAAACTAAATAATATAGATATGAAAATAGAGCAGCAAAGGGGGGGTGAGCGAGCGACTTGTCGCCTAGTATGGCCGGTGCCGTAAGATAACATGGGGAGCGTATTTGTCGCCGCGACCGAAAAACGCTCCCGGTCGCGTTTATTTTTCTGTCGCCGGTGGTCGCTGGTCGCGAGTCGCTTAGTGTGGCCGCTTCCATTTAATTTAATGCTACGCAGTTTCATTCATTGACGCCGCGACTTTGTCGCCGCGACAAAGTCGCCAAGTGTGGCCCTAGCCTTAATGTTATGTTAACTGCTTCACCGCATGTGACGCGTTTAGCTAATGCTTTTAGTCTAGTTGAACGTCGAGCATTTCATAGTCTTTATCACAAGTAAGATAATAGACTTAAAATATTACGAATATATGTAGTAAAAATCTCTATTGAATTATTTACATTCTAATGCTAGGACATGTTTCAATTCTTCGTCACTAAGAAAGTTCTTAACTTTCAATAAGGCTAACTCAAGATGAACAGTGGGAGTTTCATCACACCTGTAATACCTAAGGAATATTATTGTAATTTATTGATGGCAATTGTTTCGGTATTTTTTATCGTACAGGAAAATACATTTAAAATTAGTTTTCGCCATTGTATTTAGTGTTGTAAAGTTAACTGTGGATAATCGTAAATTCCGATTCCCATTACCAAATTAATAGTAAATTCAATTTGTTGGGCTGAAGATGGTTCTCATAGATATGGGATGGGCTAATATGAAGTTGTTTATGAAGATGAAGTTTAGTTGGTATGGGGTTTGGGTTGCGGTTTACCTACAAATTTAAATACAATTGTGTTTTGTAGTGTTTATATCGCAAGCTGAGTTTACTTGCCGCTAATCACCAATTCATTTCACTATGTGATAATACTGATAATACGGTTACCGGCGATGGTTCGGGTCCACCTTAAGCTGTGGATCAACTAAGTGTGGAGAACAAAACGGGTAAGACCTTTGGACAGGTAAATGCGTCTAAATTTGTCTTTATTACTGAAAGCTATACGATTATTAATTGTGTATCAAGTCCTCAGTGAAGAAATCTGGACCTTGGTATTTTAAACTAGATTACGCACAGTATTGACCAATTATTCAAACTTGTCTGTGTTGTCAACAACAAACGAGTAAGAGATGTGAGTTAAGGTTGAGAAAGCGAGAGAGAGTAAGAGGTGTTAACTGTAAAATGCAATCTGTGTTTAATCAGCTTGTTAATTGTAGCCTATTATTAGCAGGTAGTAATCGTTACTTTGAACAATTGACTATTAAATGTGATTATGACAATGTTGTACGGTATGGAGGAAAGTAATAGTTTGTTTAGTCTACGAGTACATTGCTTGTTTCGCTTAACACTTCTTTTTTAGATTGACTTACTTTAAGTTATGGTTCTGATCGTTTATTTATCAAAATGAACCTAAAATAGATACCCAAAAGTAAAAGATTAATATTATTTCAACTAGTAACTCCTGTGTTTTTTATTATACTGTTTCCGTATCTTACGTGTTTTATTGTGTTGTAGGCTTTTGTGATAGGGCTGTAGAGTAGGCACTCTTTATTCTGTGCTCAGATGTAATGCTTTACTTGGTCTATTGTAATAGAACAGGGGTTAAAGTAGAACAAATATATTTTTCCGCAGGTAACAGTTGCGAAGTAACGGTCGCAGTGCAAAGAGTTCTCACCACGACCTTGTCCAAGTTTGTTTACAGATACGTCACTCAGATGCAATTGGTTTGATAACATGAAATAGGGATTGCAGTAGAAAAAACAACGGTTTCGCAGGGAACAGTTACAAAAAGGTAACGGTTGTAGTGCGAATAGGTTCTCATCGCGACCCAGTGCCAGTTGACAAGTTACGTAATAAGTCATAAACATAACGCTGATGTCACTTCTCGTCCTGTTAGCAGCTGTAAACCGGTTAGGCACGTCCCGCCAGGCAAAAGTAGCACATGGATAAAATGTTTACAAATAATTCAACTTCTCGTCAAAAAATTTGTTCGGCATTGTATGTTCAAGAATGGATCAAACAAGTATTTCTTATTGCTTTTTATCACGTTCTTGCCACTGTATAAGGGCATTTAAGTAAAAATTAGCTGATTTTAAGGAGTAGTTTCTTATACCATCTTGTGATAAAACGTTGGCTACAATCATGTAAATTGTATTTTTTGTTAATATTTTGTTGTTATTATTAGTTTTTTAGAGGTTAACTGTAAGAAAGGACCATGAGGTCCTAAGTTCGCCTCAATGAAGAGGAATTTTCATTTCATTTCATTTTAAATTTATTAACATTGTAGAATGTAGATGGTTGCAGTGATAAGTAACATACCCACTTTTTAATAAGTTTACGTAACTGTTAATCGTAATGGTAATGGTAGTAATAGTACATGGTAGACATAACTTTGACTAACTTTATAGGCGAGGTGTAAACAATACGCCAGAGAATGTTTCAAGTAAATTTGTGAGAAATTGTTTCCCAAGTAATATCTTGATATTCGAAAATTGCCCGAGCTTTTGTAAAGGTCAGATTCCTGTGACGTACGTTATTACATTTGTAAGGTTGTTACGTGGTCACTCTATTTGACAACATTTTATGTTACCACTTTACAATAACCTAGTGCCCATCGGTGGTATGTTATTGGACAAATATTTTACATGATCTCATAACAAATTACGTCATCATCAGGGCTAGCGACATCAATTGATCTTGACAGCTCTACGTCCTTCACCTAGACAATGATAATGGTATCGCGCTCTGGGTCAGTGGACTATCTAGATACACACTTGTGTTAATTAATTTCAAAGTTTAAATATGATCTATGTTATTACTATGCATAACGATTTAGTGTAGTGTAATTGATAACTTTAAATTAAAATGAGACTGCTATCCGGTACAGTGTGTACAGAATGTATTAACATTCAAATCTTTCATAATGAAATTAATCGAGCTTATAGAATTTTGAATTAAAATATAACTCTTTTTAGAATGATACTCCGAGTTATTTATTTCAAAAGTATGCATGTAAAAAGTATATCCTCTTCGAATGTATAGATCACAATTATAGTGCTTTTTGCCAAAAAGGGTTGTTACAATTAAGGTTTTTGTCATTAGTTTCAACGAGTTTTACATTTTCAATTAGCACTTAATTGCTTAAAGGGCAAGACATTGCCTGAAAGGTTAAAGGTTGCCTTGGTTTTAAAAGCTAAAACCTCTTGGCTAAAATGCACTAAAATGTATTGAGCTTGTTCTGTATGTCTTATCAATTATTTGTAGGGTCATAATCACATATTCCGTTAAGGTCTCAAATTTACTACATTAATATTTAGATTACCAAGCCAATCAATTGTTTTTGGAGATGAACTATTATTGCAACAATCAATCGTTAGAATAACAACATAAACAAAATGAGCATTGTTGTAAAAATGAGTGTAATAGTGTACGTTATTTGAAAAGTGTACACAACCTAGGAGGGTCATCGTAGTTAGTCTTTAGAAACGTGTTCAAGATCCTTCCTCCCAAAATGGACTTAAATATCTTAAATCGCTGTCTTGACCTTTCTGCTATAATTGAGCGATTTGTAAAGTGTTAAAATCATGCTCGAAACCGCTTAGCACTAAACGTACATCGCGATGACTTGCAGACATACAGACACACAGACAGACAGACAGGAGACGGATGTTCTCACAAAGGGGTCCAAATTCAAGACAAGTGGGTCAAATACCATGTGGCAATTTGGAGTCCTTGGACAACAATGAACAGCCTCGTCCGGCCTTCGCGCCCGGTGGGTCACTAACTCGATTATAATTATAAATTATATTTGGTAATTGTGTTTAAAGGTTTTGCTAATTAATTGATACAGCACAGCGTAATTAATCTTTTTTTGTTTACCAGCGTAGGCCAAGGTGTAGTCACGTTAGTATATGTATATATTTATATATACGATTTTGCTACATAATAGAGTAGATGTTACAGATTATAAATTGACTATATCATTCTTAAATGTAATGATATTTTGGTTTTGATAATAGTATCAAGCTAAAAACCATAACAACAAATTTAAGAGGTTTGTCTAAAATGTTAATAATTCAATATAAAAATTAAACATGTTTAATACATGTTTGTTCTGGTTTTTGTTTCAATTTAACATGTTTAACGTCAAATCTATTTAACTAATCCAAGTTGGCCTTAATTATCTGGTTTGAGTTATGATAACGCACGTATCGTTAACTTCGAGTTCACACTCGTATGTAGTTCACTGATAAATAGCTGATCCGAGGTCAGCCCTTGAATTTCCAGGACGTCTAAAATTGGTTTGAATCCGATTTATGATCATTTAACAGAGTAAATATTGTTCAGAACAGTTTTATGCACATTTTGGTTTTAGCTTACTTAAGAAACGAGAGCAGAAAAACTAGGTCAGTTTAAAAACTGTGTAATGACAAGTTTGAAATGTATTTTTTTGTATATCTTCCAATTTTTAAACTCTCAAATTAATGCATTTTGAACAAATTGCACAAATATTACTACAACTATTCTTTAAACCACACCTCTAAACAGCTGGTTATTTAGAAATCAGCTGTTTGACTTCTTATTTCGTGTCCATTTTCAGCCAAGTTGCCAAAGTTTTGCGACCATCCCCTACCAAGACGTTTTACCAACTTCGTCTAATGTTAGAGCAGTGTTTTATTTATACCAAGTTAAATAGGGTCCCAGTCGGGGAATTATACGGCAAGGAAACACATAAATCATAAGTTCCATCCAGGAGCGCACGCACGCCATCTGACGGCCATCTTTGGTACTATCGACCTTAGATGTCCCCTGTGACAGGGGAAAGTGGTAAACAGATTCCTCGAGTCGAGTTTGGACCAGGAAATGTCAAGGTAAAAAGTTTAAAAGGTCCAAAGGAATCTGAAGTAGTGTTAACTACTTTTATATGTGTATAGGTGCGCCAAATCAGCAATAATGGTCATTCGAAAACATTTAACAAAATTGTTATCTTATATTCGAGTTTTATTTATAATAAACTATGCCCGTGTGTTCTTCCTTACCTCCTGGATGCTTCTTTTCAGCCAGGCTTAGATTCGCTATAGCAAATTCCTTACTATTCCGATACTGCTAGTTTTAAGTCGTATTACGCAGGGAATCAAAATATTAATAAACAAGATCTGAACCTTTATCTTCAGTACTATTCCATCACTTTAAAATACATAACAAAAGAAATCTTTTACATCCCAATTGTTTACACAGTTCTTAGTGTTTTGTTAAGATGTACTAAAAGCGATAAGTCCCAAAATAAAAAATAAAAATTTCGGTGAGACACCCTAAGTAAATGCGAGTACATTCTGAATCAAACAGTTAAAACTTTCTAAAGTATTGGTGATGCTTATAACACTCAGAAAGTCACATAATTAAAATACAGAACCGTCTAAATTCATTCAAAATATCGTTCTTACATGAGGAGAGGTCTTACATAAAATTTACTCTCAAACCACCAACTTTAACGAATGCAAATATATGTTATATTTTTGTCATTTACTGTGAAGCAAGTGCTGACAACTCTTTTTATTTGCTAGGATATTCCCTCTAGCTTATCCACCAGCGAGGGTCTGGGGTTTAGAGTTTAGACGTCGTAAACCCAGGTTTACTGTTAGGGGAGCTCCCCTACCAAAGTGATAGATCCACACGCTAAGCTACGTCGCTACCTCCACAACAATACAACAATACTACGCCCTGTCACAATCTTGGTCAACAAAATCTGATGTATTTTTTTGCCAGTGGCATTTTATTTAAAGTCAACGTGAAACTAAAATCGTTTAAGTAAAAGTGGTCCAAACCCATAAAGGTTTTTTGGAAGTACCACTAAAGTCAGAGACGCTAACCAATAGGCGAGCCCTATAACTCATATACCTAGGCAATTAATGTAGGAAAGAGCCAAGAACAAACAAGAATGATTTGGAAACGTTTAATTTATTACCTTACAATAACGTATGCCAACTTAAAAACAGCCAACCAATGCTTGCCTAGCTGTGAGTATTACTGTCATTGCAGTTTCTGAGAACTATACTGGTGACGTCAATGATTTCAAGGTTGGTCTTCACAGCATTGTGAGATTTAATTTAATTTTGCAACCTTCTTGAGCTTTGCTTGGCTCCAGAACTGTACAAATCTACTCTTGTAACATAAAACCGTAAGCTTTGTGCCTGTCCGTAATAGTTTTTAATTTTAATATACAGTAGTTGTGAATGGTCACATACTACTGTAACCAATGAGCTAAGTATACTTAATTTTTCAATTTGTTGGGTTGTAGCTACCTAACTTAAAATAGTAAACATTTCCTAGTGATGTCATAAAAATACAAATTTTGAATTTCTCTCAAAATACGAGTAATAGTCCGCATATTTTAACTACCATTTATAATAGCTTTCCTTTTTAAAATGCCAATTCGACTTTAAAGTTAAAAAAGTTAAAGTTTAAAAAATCTGGTTAATTTGATAGCACGTACAGTCAATTAAAATAGATTAAAATGCACTGAAGACAGTTATGTAGCTATGCAAAAGGTCATACCATTTCTGCTTAGTTTTGAAACTAAGAAGCGGTTTTATATTGGAAATAGTTATGAAGTACTGCATATCTAATCATAAAGAAATCTTGGTGACTATTGTATACTGAAGGCTAAACTCAATTTTAATTTATAATTTTGACTATAGATACCTACTTTATAATTTATTTCAGGCTAATCTAGTCTAATGGTCTAGTGCTGTCCAACACATTTCACGCTACATCCTCCACTTATGAAGTTTCAGCTCAACCCATATTTCTAGGCTAGAGTTACATGTTAGACATTTTGAGACGTTGTACATGACTCGTGTTATATCCGGAAGTTATACCGTTCCCTTCAGCTCTCGACAATATAGTAACTATTACTAATTAACTAGTTACTACTAGAGTGATCACGTGATAGTTTATAACAAGAAGGTGTCATGTGAAGAGCTTTAGGCCTGAATGCTTCAAAGTAGTGTCTGATAGTTGGGAATAGGTCAAGTTAAATTTGAAAGGTATCAAAGTTTGAAAGTCTTTAAGGGCTTTGGTGTTTGGGTGTATGTTCTTCGATAGTTTTAAGTAAAGTTTAGTTTGAAAGATCCAAAAGTTCCAGCCACATCAGTTTGAATAGTCGATGTTTAGCTGTTTAATGTAATTTTCTTTGATCGTTTAAGATTATGTGAAGTTTATATACATACGGCAATCAATAAAATCACTCCAGTAATTAAAATTAAGGTAATTTTGATTACAATTTCACAAGCTATCAATTAATTATGTAATTCAAATCCCCCCACAATCATCGAACCGCCACCCCATCTCTACAAACTACCCCCCCCCTTCCACGCACTACCCAAGCTGTCGGGGTGAATAATGAAAACAGTTGTCGGTCGGTGTTAGTGGGTCAGTCAATACAACTACACACTAACACACACACACACACACATACTCAACGTACTCGCCTTGCACGAGTCACCTTGTGGCATTTAACCATTGATTATTTGCATCCATTCATGCCGTGTGAATTGATCTGTTCGTGTTCCCAGAAACGGTTATAGTAATCAAAAGAGAAAAAAATTAAAATAATGCAATATGGTACCCACATTTGGGAAAAAGCTATAATGATTCTCAGGTTAAATATTTTGTGCCAAGGGCACAGCTGAATATTTGAAAAGAAAATGTGAAAGGCAATAAGACACAATTAATATGTTTATAAGTTTTACCAAAGTTGTGCTTTTCTGATATTTTATAAAATTACTAGTTTTGTAAATTGATTTATTAGTACAGACCTCCTTTTAACGAGGCTATAACAATACAGGTTCGTCATCTGTAGTGTTTTCAAAAACACAGTTTTCAAATTAATAAAACTGTACCAATTGAAGCTTTTTTTTAGCAACACCCTTGGTGAATTTCCACTTTTCTGTTTAATCAGTTATCTAAGATTACTTTGGATATTTCGGTTCTCTGTATTTTTCTAACTTGAGTACCGTACCTCACTTTATATTCTTTCAAACATTCAGTGTTAAACTTAAGTAGACATTACCTTGTTTTTTCGAAGAAGAAAAAAGATTGAATGATTTACTGAAAACTCTTCTTCAACAACCATTAATTTTTGTATATTTTTGTATTTTCGTATGTGTTCTTTTTGAAACTAAACCTAGAAACATTTTCTCTAATAATGTTAAATTTAAAACTGTGCCATTCCCTTTAGCTAAAATCATTACTAATTGTATCATGCAGTACGAGCGAATTGACCAACCAACAAACTAAAGTTATTCTTGCAGCAGTCAACACTTCGATAATAATATGAAAGGTGATTAAGATGTTCATAATCTTCTTTGATGCCAGTCGTTCACATAGTATAAGCAACATAAAAGAGAAGCACGAGCCTTTATTTATTAAGAATAAACGGGTTCGGGGTATTTACAAAAGAGTCTTTCAAAAGGTTGACCCAGTTTTACAGCAACTAGCAGGTGTTCTAGTAGGGGAGCTCAGCAGAGGGAAGGCAATTACGTTATAACATGTGGCCGTTAAGTGCCCACCGGAAACGGCCACATGATTATAATGTTGAGAAAATACTATTTACATCCGAAATTGTATATTAACATTGTTAGTTTTCACTGAGTGAAGTGTAGCGGGTGAAAACGAGCTAGACAAATGGAATTGATAGATTTCTAGAGAGACGTTGTGTATGTGCCATATATTTTTTTTAAAGAAAGTTGTATAGCTTTAATGGTAATACTG